CCCCCACCCGCCCCAGTTCAGCGATCATCTGTGGGGAAACCCCAGGTGCCGCACCAGTCGTTGAGCCAGGGGGGCACAGGGGGAATCCTCTGCATGCTCCCTGGTAGACCCAGAAGTGGACCAGAAGTGCTTCTGGTCTGCTGCCAAGTGTGCTGTGGAGCACCCCCCGTGCTCCTGTAGGACGCTTCATCCGCCCCAGCATCACAACATTCACGAGCTGCATGGTACCTTGAGGTATATAGAAAAAAACATTTAAAGCAGTGTCTATGTCTGAATCTCCAAATCGATTTGGAGGGTTTTAATTCGATTCAGAGAGATTAAAGGGTCCTTTCACTCTATGCAGATTCGGCCACTGAATTGGGCCAAATCAATTCAGGGACCAAAGCTTCACACAGCCCTGTTATCTCTTCATAGAAGGCAATCAGGTTGATCAGGCATGACTTGCCCTTAGTGAATCCATGCTGAAGGTTCCTAATCACCTTCTTCTTTTCCAAGTGCTTAGAAATGGATCCCTTGAGGACCTGCTCCATGATTTTTTCTGAGGACTGAGATGAGGCTGACTGGTGTATAATTCCCTGCATACTCCGCCTTCCCTTTCTTAAAGATGGGCACTATGTTTGCTGTTTTCCAATCATCCAGGACCTCCCCCAATCTTCATGAGTTTTCAAAGATGATGGTCAGCAGCTCTGAAATCACATCAACCAACTCCCTCAACACCCTCATATGCATTGCATCCAGCACCATGAACTTGTACACATCCAGCTCTTCTAAATAGTTCCTAACCTGTTCTTTCATCCACCTTGGGGATTCCTGGCCTGGCACTCCTCCTCCATTGGTAGTGCTCCATATCTGTTCTCCAGGCAAACCACTACATATGGGGATGACTGTGACTTCTTGCTGCCAAAAGATACAAACTTCCAGCTTCCACCTTCTTGGGAGTCTGTGTACTCTTCCTTTTTCTAGCACCACCTCTGGTAGTCCTTCCTCCACAGTCTTAGAGGTTTCTTCCAGCATGGAATCAATTCCTCATAGTGGAAGATGCTTCAGAGCTTTGATACCTGCTCTTATAGCTCTCTTGCCTTCTCCCTGAGGGATACCATCAGAAGACACCACTCACATTTCAGGCACTTCCCTACCTGGCTAACACTGGAAGGAACCTGCAAACCTCAGTCTGTGCAGCACCAAACCAGGACCTGGGTGGAAACCTCAGTGGTGTGTGGTCCTGCCTGGACAGACACCTCATAGGTGGAAGCAGAGAAGGAGCTGGAAGTGACTGTGGCTCTGAGATTGTGAAGTCCTCCAGCCATGTCTCTGGGTCTTCTAATCTGCTGCCTCTCACTTCGTGCCTCTCTTTCCAAGCAGACCTTCCCTAGCAAACTTCTCTGTAGCTGGCCTGTTTGCTTTTCCTTGATCTAAAGGGTTCCCTTTTCCCTGCAACTTCTTTCCCCTCAGCAAGCTTACAGTGAAGGAATGTGAGAGAGTTTTGAAGCAAACTCCCCCTTTCTCTCTCTGGTCTTTAGTTAAACAAGGGGCTTGTTTGGCAGTGAGATGTTGTTTCAGGGTTGTTTTTGCACAGTAAACTTGAATTATTTCTTTATAGTGACTCAGTATTTGATTGGAAAAGATGGTACATCAGTCAGTCTCCATCATCAGAGTTCTTTTATTCTAGTTTGTACTGATATAGGAATTCTGATGCACTGAAAGCCCTTCCAATATATTTTGTCAAAGAAAGCTTGCACATTTTAAGCAGGCTATCCTGTTTTCTGTAATCAGTGCTTACAAAATCACTGGGTGTTTTTGTCTATTTTAGCCTAAAGATGGCCTAGTAAGAGTTCTCTAAGTCTTGAAATAGATGTCATCAAATAAACCAGATCAGCTGTCCTGGGATGCATCCCAGCACAGCTGACACTTTCTATTGGGTGAAACGCACTTTGCCTGTTGTCCCACCCATTGATCTTTCAGGACAATGGGCAAAATGTTCCCACTTCCAGAGACATGCCATGGAGATTGCCAATGGCCCGTCTCTGGAAGTGGGGAAAGCAGGACAAACACTTCTAGGGTTTGGGGGGCCCCAATCCTGTGCAGGAGTTCCCAGGGTGTGCAGTTGCTGAGTATCCTAGGTCCTGGGAGTGCCTGCCTGGAGCAGCAAAAGAGTATGGGCAGCTCTGGGTGCCCATGTTCTCCCACCATAAAATAAATGGATATCTGCCAAAATAAAGCAAAACAATTTATCAATACCTTTTGTCACAGCTATATTGTGATGTGACATAAGGTATAGATGTCTATTTTCTGTTGCTTTGTGCTGCCAGAACACTTTTTTTTTACAGTGGTACAAAGATGACCAAAAGCAATGTGCGTTTCCACCCTGACGGTCAAGTCTGCATTCTAAATATGACATGTTTTGATCTGGGTTATAAACGAGGCTTTGAGTTTTAATTGGTTGTGTTTCACTTTACTTTGCCATAGTAAATGTTACTGTCCAAAATACCTCTAGTACTATCACAGCATAGAAGCACAACTCTTACGGGGCATGTATTAGAGACTTCTATTTGGGAATTAAGGGCCATTTATGGAGAAATTTGTATTAGAGATGCTTAAGCCCAAGGAAATAGTTCCTTTTTAAAGATTTTAAACCTGGTCAAAGGGATAACCAAGTATTTGAGCTTTTTTGTCTGTAATTAAATAATTAAATTGGAAAATAGATTACAGCAAAAAACTAATATTAATATCTTTAATGCTAAGAGTCACCAAAAGTATATATGTAACAATATTCACATTGGACTGTGGCAATGACATTTTCAGCTCCCGTACATTAATTTGTTAGGAAGATATACATTTCATAATGGCTTATTAGATTTTCCAGTTTTTAAGCTCGTTGCATATTTAGCCAGTGATCACCTTTACTACCAAAGTTAATTGAGACTTAAGCATTAAAAAAATGGCAGTAACATCCATCATTCTCTCCATCACTGGTACACACGAGAATATTTTCAGTTAGCAGCATTTTTTTTATACAGGAAATGCATCCAAAATCTCAATAAATGTTTGTCAGGACATTCGACTAAAATGATTTCTAAACTATATTATTTTCATGATTTTTTTTAGGCCTATGAAAGCCACAAAGACTATTAAAACTGATTTTTCTTAAGCTGTTACTCTTCTGCCTTAAAAAAATATATCAACTCATAACAATTTTAGAATTTCATTTCAGGTTTATTTTGACAGGTAATTAGTTGAAGGGGTTGGGGCTCTACAATGTAATCACTTTTCTCTTTTTGCTCATTTCAGGGTGGATTAATGATTGATAAAGGTGTCAAAATCACCAATGCCAGTGCCGAGGATCCAAGGGAATACCTTTGTTTGGATAACAACGCAAGGTAGAAAAAATCCTTTCCCAAATGTATGCTAAAATATCTAAATTCTGAGAATGTTCAGAGCTTAATAATATTAAGGAAAGGGCCTAGTTGTAATTTTTTTTTTATTTATAGTGATTGCAACCTGGAGAATATAAAACATAATGGTTCTTCATACTTGTCTATGCATGTGTTCTGGGATCAGTGGAGCATGCTGTGTTCCAGCAGTTTTCTGTCCTTCATAGACTTATAGAGAAATAGGGCCAGTCAGGACCCCCAGAGATCATCTAGTCCAACCCCTTACCTGAGAAGGGACCATCCTTATCCAAATCATCCTATACAAATCCATTGTCTAATCTCTTAGCAAAATTACACAGTCAATTCTGACGAAATACAAGACATAAAACCCTAAGCTGTCATAGGTAAAGCTGGGCCACCACAGCAAACATTGCCCTGCTGCAGAAAAAAAAGGTTAAGATTACAGACTCAGGAGCTCCCATGCAGAGGACCACATCCCCATGACAGAGGAAGGCAAAATCTTCCACAGTACATACCAATCTGCCCATGGGTGAAATTCCTTCCTGATACCAAATAGGGTGATCAATGTGACCCTGAGCGGAGGGGCAAGACCCTCAAGCCATCATCCTCTAGCTCTAAGTCTCAGCAGGAGCACTGGTACACTCTAGTCAAAATCCCCAGCCTTGGCTGCAGCCAACACCCAATGCCTCTGAGGAAGGCTTAAGAAAATCCTGATACATGTAGCACCAGGCAAGGCAGGAAGAATTCCCTCCTGAGCCCCTGCAGGAACCAGCAAAGCCCAGAAACATGGGAGATACCCACAGTAAAACATAGACATAGCTATACCTATATCATTCCCAACCAGTGGCTATCCAGCCTCTTCGTGAACACCTCCAGTGATAAGGAGTCCACAGCTTTCCTAGGCAGTCTGTTCCAGTGCCTCACTGTTCTAACAGTGAAGAAGTTTTTCCTGGTACCCAATATAAATCTCCTTTGCTACAACTTCAAGCCATTGTTCCATGTCCTCTCTGCAGCAAGAAAGAAAGTCTTCTCTCTCTCTCTCTCTCTCTCTCTCTCTCTCTCTCTCTCTCTCTCCCTCCTTTATGGCAGGCCTTTGAAGACTGCTACCATGTCCTGTCTTAAGCGCCTTTTTCTGCAAGCTGAACGTGCCCAGCTCCTTTAGCCCTTTATTATTCTTGTTACCCACCTCTAAACTCTCTCCAATTTTTTTATGTCCTTCTTACAATATGGAGCCTGGAACTGCACACACTTCTCCAGATGAAGCCTAACCAGTTCCAAGTAGCTAGGTACTATTACCTCCTATGTCTTGGATCTAATGTTTCTGTTGATGCATCCCAAAATCATATCTGCCTTTTATGTGCAGCTGCATTATGATGCAGACTTATTGAGTCTGTAATCTATCAAGACTCCAAGATCCTTCATAATAGTGCTGCTATCCAACCAGGTATTATCCACTTTGTATCTGTATTTTTGATTACTCTTCCTGAAGTGTAGCACCTTGCATTTGTCAGCATTGAACTTAATCCTGTTAGCATCAGTCTAGCTTTCCAGTCTTTCAGGAGCCTTCTGAATTGCACTCCCATCCCCCAGCATGTTCACAATCCTTCCCTTTCTGTACATTTGTCTTGTACTGGCTTTCTCACCCAGAAGCAAACACTTTTTCATCATAATTTACCATCACTGCTACAATATTATTATAGTTCAATTACATTTTGAAAGTATCTTTTGATTTGCTAGACTTTCCAGCTCATAGGTCAGTGTTCTGTACCTAGCAGGAAAGACTTTAAAATGCACATAGTGCTAGGAAATGCTCAACTGAAATCACAACTTCATGAAAGCTGATCCTTTTTGTTGCCTTTTGAGCCTTTGAAACTCTTGTCTTAGTCTTCTGATGGGGTGTGTGCGTGTGTGTGCGCGTGAGTGCATGCACACCCACACACACTTTAGCAGCATAGCTTAAGGTCAAGGAAAATTCTGAGGTGTGTTTTTGGGGAAAAGGTGTTGGTATTTGCTGGAGTACGAGAAAAGTGGATGGAACTGGGATGAAAATGCACAATCACTTATTTTGAAGGGCAGGATAGATAAAGACAAAGTCAGTTGGATATCAGATGGCAGAGGAAAATTTAAGTGCTTACAACCACCAGTATTGCCTCTCTTAGTTAGTTAAAGCACCCTTGCCACTATTTTTCAGCATGGGGACACTAATACACATGATGCTTTGTGTGCTTTAATTAGAGCAGCTCTGAGAGCCACCTCCGCTCCATGGCTGCCTCCCTCACTCGTGGAGCACTTGTATAAACACCCAGAGTGACTGAAATGGAGCATGGCCACACCAGAACCTCTCTGAGATTTTTTTTTTTTTAACTGTGTAAGAAAGATTTGGTAGTAAGACATAAAGTCCTAGTAGATTTAAAACATAATTTATTTAGAATAAATTCCTTAAAAGAGTTTGAAGGATCTTAAATATTATCAGTAACTGGAGTCAGGATGCATGCTGTGGGAGCAAGAGAGCTTGGAAGTGTACTAGGAGAAGGATGTTGGCAGAAAGATCTCATATCCAAGGAGGCTGGGGGGTGGGAATTGACATTTATAAGATGAGCACATGTTACTGAAGCAAAAAGAACAAAGGTCTGGGAACCACTTTCTAGTAAGATATTTGTAATGGTTTCAGGATCAATAGTAGCAAGGGGATAGTTATTGAAGATTAGATGAGGATCACAATGCTGCAGGTTACATAGATGCAGCTGAAGAAAACCATACTGGTAGACAGTGTTCTTCCTGTTTAACACATAGTATGCTAGGAACTATCGCATGTTGGTACAAAAAACCTAATAATCATCAGCTATCAAGTAAAAGTGTCTTATAGAGCTTTGAGGAAGTAGCATTTAAAATCATACATTTGTCGTCATACAGACAGAAACTTGAAATAATAAGCGCTTGCCTGATTTATTTATTAATTTAAAATGTTTTGATTGTTGCTTCTGGAATCCGTTACATTTCTTTGATCAACAAGACCATACCTATATTACACAGTTTATGACTTGTGTAGGACTGTGCAAACTCTTGCTGAAAGAACTTACCATATCATATAAATATTCGATAATTTTAAATACTGTTGGTGAAACAAGAACAAGATTTTTATTGCGTCATTCAGTGAGAAGTCTTTCTAACTTACTTGAAATTAATTTTTAATATACTATAATAATTCTCCCAGGTAGGGTGGGAAGAAAATATTTACAAAGCTTTTTAGGCAATCTTCATAGAGTTCTGTTGTCTGATCTGATGCTTATTAGCCATAGTTTGTGTATCTGACTGGCAAACTGTCCATAGCTCTTGAAATATACCTTAAGCTTTCATGAAATCTCCATCTGGCTGCTTCCACTAGTCTGACCAGCAGTTTCTTCCATCTTCCTTGTTTCTCTGATCTTCTGGGTAAGAGTTTCTGTGTTGCTCCCACAAACCAAAAAAGTTTCCAGCCACCATTCCATAAGAGACTGGCTTGGTTGCAAACTGTGGAGCACAGACTTGAGTCATGGAGAAACACGTCAGTTCTGCTCAGATAAAGAATACTCTGCGAAACCAATCTCGCTTGAGAGATCCAAGATGGAGCAGTCATTAGCCAGTCCTCTAGCTGTCTGTTTGCAGTAGCAAAAGTGGCCTTGCATGCCCTGCCAAGGTCAGCTGTCATCTTTTCTCTCCCTCCAAACCCTGAATTAATGCTGCAAGGATTAAGGAGGGAATAAAAGACGTGAAGAAAGGTGTGTGAAGAATGGTGAGGGATGTAAAATTAGGTGTGTGAAGGGTGTAAAATTATCAAATATTTGTGTGCTATTCCCTCGTGGCAGATGTCTGTGCTCCCCTGTTTTTCTGCTTCCCAAGAAGATGGTGATCAGATTCCTAGAGAAGTTGTGATATGAGAATGAAGAATTGTAGATGCACTTGGTGAAGTTGCAGTTCTGGTTTCCATCATCTTTTGGCTTGACTCTGCTCTCCTTTTGTGTTGGACGCTGCAGAATGCTGTTTTTGCCTCTGAAGAGTACAAGTGTTTATGTCTTGATATATACTACAGCACTGTATGTGTGTTCCCATACATGGAGCCAATTCAGATATTTTCATTTCAAGCCTTGTTTTTCCTCTTTCCAAGGTTTCGACCTCATCAAAACACAGACCCTGAGAAGCCGCGAGTTGCTGCTCTGATTGACAGACTAATCGCTTTTAAAAACAATGATCATGGGGCTTGGGTCAGAGGAGGGGATATCCTCATTCAGAACTCTGGGTAGGTGTCCAAAAGATAGTTCTGCCTCCTGTAAGACATCCTCCTGGACAAGGGTGTAAAAGCCTGGAGAATTAAGTAAAAATATGCATTGTGAAATCTATAAAAATGCATTAAGATGGAGTCATGAGAGAATATCCATGCTAAACTATGGAGACTTTAAGTGTCTCATTCCACTAAGTAGAATCAAATGAAGTTCTCAGGATTGCATAGAAAGACAAATAATGGTTTAAAGTTGCATAATGAAAACAGTTAACTCAAAGTTAATTGAAATCATAGGGAATACTTAGATAATTTTGAGTGTAAGATATTTGAGGCTTCTCTGAAACTATCATATTGCCACTTTAAAAATATGTAAAAATGATTTTACAGCTTTTAAGATGCATAGCATCTGTAAGTATAATCGCTGTCAATTAAATTATCTGAATTTTTCTTTCCATTTCTTCAATATCTATTCATTTTGAAGCCAATCTGTTTTATCCCTTTGAGAAAATAATATCATTTTCTTATAAATGGGTTGAAGTTTTCTATGCTAAAATTACTTTCTTTTGTAGGTTTTCTGACAATGGAATAGGTTTAACATTTGCCAGGTGAGTACCTCTTTTAAGGATAAAACATGGAAAAAGCTTAATACAATTTTGCTTATCTAGAAATTTTGAAAATGTGTGTAAAATCATGGGAAGTCGGTGTGTTTCAAAGGCTGTGATATCATGGCACTCTTATATTTCCATTGTTTTTTAAAGGCAAGAGAATTGGAAGTGGACTGTATCTTTGCTTTTGGTCGTTGGTCAAAAATTAATACTTTGGTACAGGGATGTCCAATTCCCAAAAGGCCAGGGCCACACAGCCCTGAGCTGTACCAGAAGGGTCTTATCAGGGCAAGCCACTGCCTCCCCAGCCACATGCCATATGGAGGCTCCCACCCCTCCAAGATTGCTGGATTGCCACCCACATGGATGCACCCTCCCACAGCTGTACCACATGCTCATGTGGCGCCGGTCTCACCCTCAGCTTGACAAGACAAGCTGCACTGCACTGCCATACCCCCTTGGGTTGAGCAGGAAGCAGAAGCTGAAGGAGGGAGAAGGAGCCTGGAGACTCCATCTGTTGTTTCAGCCAGGGCAATGGGTGGAACAGTAGCCTGGCAAGAGCCTGGGGACTGCAGCTTAATCCCTTTGATGCATCAAATCATAATGGTGGAGTGTTAAGTGTCATCAGTGGTTCACTAGACCGATTTGCAGTGTTAATGTTAATCCTTAAGACTTTGTGTATTGAACATATGTTCTTGAAGGATGACTGAAGTACTGAAATGAGAACATCTAATACTCATCTGCATGTGTGTGTGTGTACACACACACGGGTGTCTACATTACATCACTTAACTGTCATGTTTAAAGGCTAAGATTTTATTTTTTTAAATCAAAGATTAAATATACTGCTTTATTTATTATAATGTACTTTACAAAAAAAAAACTTGTTTTGATTCAGTTAACAGTAAAAAAAAAAAAAAAATTAGAGATGGTAGCATCTTCTTGAATGTAAAATGTTTATAACTTTCTGCTGCAGTAGAGGTAAACTTTGATTTGCTTTTTATAGTGATGGAAGTTTTCCAAGTGACGAAGGTTCCAGCCAGGAAGTATCAGAATCTCTTTTTATTGGCGAGAGCAAGAACTATGGCATCCAGGGTGGCCAAAACAAATACTGGGGAACTGGAGGAACAGACAATAAAAATCGCACCCTGCCTAGAAATCGGTAAGTGTTTCAGCAGGCAAAACAGAGATGCTTTTTCAAAAATGTACCCTTTTTGCCTAATGGAATAGCAGCAAAAATTTGAAAATTAAAGTATCCACTTTCTGTGTGATGCAATGTTAATGTTGAACATGCCAGAGGGGAAACAAATTGGCTTGGGGGCTTAATAACAGGATATACTATCTTTCAGTCCATTCCAGCATTTGAATCTGGCCAAGAAAAGCATTGACTAGACATTATTATAGTTAGATTACTACATTCAGGCCTATTTGTTATTAGTTTGAACTTCTTAGCCTTATTCTTGATGACCAAGTACTTACCTCACAAAAATTAACACTGTTGGCATTGACTTGCATCCTGTAGTCCTCTGTTTATTCCGTCTCCTTCTGAGAATAAGCAGTTCTCAGTTTCTGGACTGTGAAATTAACCCATTCTCAAGACATTACATTCCTTTGCACTAAAAGAAAGGTAGCCATTATTTACATTAGGACTACTCCACTAATTTATTGTCATCTTGCACAGTGCAAAAATGTTTCTTTGTGTGATTTATATAGAAACTCATTTCTAATGCTGTCATCTGCCTGCAAACTGCAGGAAGAGAGAGAAACAAGGAACCTATTTCCTAATAATGGGTGTCTCTTTATTTTGGGTGTCTTCTTTATTTCTTGAGATGATATTCTTATCTATGCTTAAACAGTTGGTTCTTCTATTCTGTTCTTTATGTATTGTGGGAGGTGAAAGATCTCAAACGGTGGTTGATACACCTTTTTAATACAAGGAGTGGCTTAGGTCATTCTTTTCCTGATAAATCTTTGTTAGTTGATAAGCAACAACAAGATAACACTTTGGCTATACCAGAAACTGAAACACTAATGATACATTAGTGTTAAAAATTTGTTATTGATCTAGTAACAAAAAGGAATTTTAATCAGTTCAGCAGTTGATTTCTGTACCGTCTAGAAACTGTCTGGCATGCTGAATTGTGCCTTTTTAAGTCTGTTTCCAGTCTAGTACCTTGAATTGCTATGAGTAACAATTGCTGATGTCCTGTGACCCTATCAGTTGTAAAACAATCGGGTGTGGTGGAGAGGAAGGAAGAGTCTATGGCTATGGAAACTGGGATGCCAGGTGGGAATTAATAATGGCAACCAGTCCAACTCAATTTTCCTTTTATATAGGAACCTTCTCCACTTCTTTCAGTGGTCTGCTTAAGACTTATTACCCATTGCCAGATCCCACCCTGGTTTCACAAAAGTAGGAGAGATTTGGTTTAGAGTTCTCTGCAAATCTAAGCATGTGCAGTGGGCACTTATGGAGTAGCTCTTTTCCTGCACACTACAAAGTAAGAGGAAGGAGATGGGAGTTAAGTGAGGCTGCAGGCAGTAGTAATACCCACTAATAATAGAAAGGAGCCTCACCCTTAGTACTGTGTAGATTTGAATACAGTCAAGATTTTCCTTACTTATAACATCCTACTCTGGAATCTGTTTTTAGCTCTGCATTCTTAAAGATGAAAAACGCAAGAAAATGTTATATCTCAGGGATCCTGAATGGTACAAGTAGAGTACTTGTGTGTCTTAAATGTTTTATTTTTTTTAATAGGACATTTCCAATCAGAGGCTTTCAGATTTATGATGGACCTGTTCATCTTACCAAATGCACATTCACAAACTTTGTACCAACCCCTGATAGATTCACCAGTGCAATTGGGTTCCTGATGAAGAACTCCTGGCAGATGACACCTAAGAACAACATTTCTCTTGTGAAGTTTGGTTCAAATGTAAGCCTATTGCAAAATTTCCTTTCAGTGAGTTGGGGATAAAACAAGGAAAGGAGGAGCACTTGGAATAGTGAAGAATGTATGTTGTGCTTCCAGTTTCCCATGCAGATTATCTTTCATTGGAACAGATATGAAGCAATATCCTTTCATTTCCCCCATCCTGTACCACAACATGTCTGCTTCTGTTTTAACTCCACCTATGTTGTCTTTTCTATGGCGTCCTGTTCCCTCCAGCTGAAGTCACTGGGGTACTTGAAGTGGCATCTGGAAAAGGGAAATCTGCTTCTCCAGAGACCTCTTGGGCTGCCTTAGCCAGTTCCCAAACACTTAGGAGGATAGGTGATGCATATTTTGCATTCCAGTTCTGGGGGTCTATCCCACATGAAGATTGAGAAGTAGGGATTCAGACTAAGTATTAGCTAAGAACAGCTTTTGCATGAAGTGAAGGTGAACTGTACTTCTGAAGTTTGAAACCTAGCCTTTGTTTTGTTGCCACATTTTTAAACTTCCTTATTTCAGCCAGATACTTGAGTACTGAAATTTGTTTTAAGTATTGTCTTTGAACCTAGTTGGAAGTATGGGAAATCCTTTTTTAAAAAGTGCCTGTTTACTGAAGTTTCCAACACAGGCTTTGGCCAAGTGTCACAAAAAAACCTAACTTTGAAATCCATGCATTGAGTAGCCTATTTTCATAGATAATTATATTAAGTTATGCTTATATATTGCTACCCTGGAAACTTACTTGCCTTTTTTGTTTTGTTGCAAGAGTTACTTAGGTACCTTATTTTTGGTAAAGAATAGAGAAGCTTTTCTGCAGAAAACAGAAAAAAAGTTCACATTCACTTGTTGCACAGTTGCTGTGCTCTGGAGCATAGGGAGGCATGAAGCTCAAGGTGAATAGCTGTGCAGGCAGGTCCAAGACGCATTCTTTGAATATTGATTCTAAATACAAAGCTGTATTTATTTTTTTAAAATACATGCCAATGGAGGATTGTTTAAACAATGCTTCGCAGAATATGTATGAAAACTAAGCTTATACAAACAGAAAGTGTTTGCATCTTCTGAGGGCAGGACTTGTTTCATGTTTGTTGCTGTAGCAAGGTCCTGGCCACAAAGATGGCCATGATGCCTCCTGGTGAACCAGTGACTCCTGCCCCACTCTGGCTCCTCCTTGAATCTCACCCGCCACACTTTGATGTTTCGTATGGAGTATAGGGAGGCTGCCCTAGGGTTCCAAAGTGACCAGCCAGTCTGTTTTGCCCCATAGAGCCTCTACACTGTCGTCCATTTGGCCCTGTCAGTGCCATAGGTCACCAAGTGCCTTATGAGCTTTATTTGCCACTTCCATCCTTTCCTGTAGCCATGCCTATGCCTCACAGTTGTTAACTGAACACTTTAGAGGGCCCCCTGACCTTACTGCAACACTTAGCTCCCTTAGGCCTCAAACGTTTGTTGAGGCTTCAGCCCTCCCGGCTTTGGTCCCTTTTCTCTGGCTGCGTCCTTCCCATAGCCCAGCTGCCCCAGATCTTGGCATCTGAGCCCCAGTTCTAGTCCTGCCCCTTTTGGGCTCTTCATCTCCCTTGGTCCCTGACCTGAGCAAGGTTGTTCTCATGTTGCTGAGCCCCCTTATAGTCCCAGACCTCTACAGAACTCTGTATGAGATGCCCTATTGTCTTCCATGCTACCACCAAAGCCACAACCCGGTCCTCTGGGATCAACTTAAACACAGTGCTTTCACCAAAGACTCTTCCCCACTCAGGGTTTATGCCACCCTTCAAGCTCTACCTACTTCCCTTGGGGCTCTCACCTCCCAGCTCTTATTGGTGTTTGCCAGGCTGGCTCTTTCACTCCTCTCTCCCTAGATCTCTACTCCCTGCAGTATGCAAAGCCAGACTGCCTGTCTTTCCTCATGGCCTACATTATATGTCTATAAGCTCCATCCCGTTTGATCATGTGGCTCCCCAGGCACACACAGAGTTTTTCCTTTTGCCTAATGGCCAGCCTGTGCTCCTGGCTTGCTGCCCTCTTTATTTAAAGTTACAATCCCATGTTTCAAAGAAGAAAAGATTTCAGCTAAAAGGTTTTAGGAATGGAGCACGATATCAGTCTTCAGTGAATAACATCTTAGCTTGTACAGGCATTTCTGCAAACACAGAAGCTCTATATGTAGTGTGCTATAACACTGAACTTGATGAAATCTCAGTAAATGCACTGTACCGATAGGTAAATTGACAGGATGATTTAAGTCTTTTCCATCCAGAAGTTCTTTGAAGGAAACATGAGGCCTAAGGTGTCTGAACTTCCTAAAATCACTAGCCTCTGTTGAGGCTGGGAACTGCAACTCTTATTTTCAGCTTAGGCTATCAGTCTTATGAGTGAAGCCTTTGATGTGGCTGCAGCTTAGGCAGGAATTGCTGTGAGTAGATAGGGTTTTAGTTTGGATTTGATGCTCTCTGAGCTCAAAACCAAGTCACTGCAAATGTGTATTTTAATATTCAGTAGAATTCTTTTATCCCCCTGGGTCACTTTAAGTCATGAATTTCCAGTAATAAAAGTAGTAACGCAAATTCAGAAAGTAGTTCAACCCTAGTTATACTTGCAAAATTTTTGATAATTTATTTGTTGAAAAAAAACATGTCCACTACAAACTGTTTTTGCAAGGTTACATTGTATTTGTTAGAAAGTTTTTGTTCTGCTCATAATTTCCCAAACTTGCAACTTTGTTTCAGCATGGAAATATTTATTGGTTTCACTTTGTTGTAAATATAGCACAGTGACTTATATTTGGTTTTAGGAAACTGAATTGAAATGTTTCACTTCCCCTTTATTGTCAGGTTTCTTTGAAAGTCTTCTTCGGAAAACCTGGTCCTTGGTTTGAAGATGGTGAGTTGGATGGTGACAAGAACTCAATATTCCATGATTTAGATGGTTCTGTGACTGAATATAAAGACACTTATGTTGGCAGAATGGATAATTACTTGATCAGACATCCAAAGTGCATCAATGTTACAAAATGGAACGGAGTGATCTGCAGTGGGACGTATGCACAGGTTAGAACTATTGCGTATTTTTGTGTATTCCATATTTAATCTGTTGTCAAAAGACCTAATGAGAGAGCCTGTTAAAACTGTGGAATTGATTTCTATAGGGTTTTTTTAAGTTAATTTACACTGATCCTCTTAATTTTACATTCAACCTCTCTATTTAGAGACTGGGGCAATAGGGATTTAGGATATAAAAAGTTTTCAAGCAAAAGAAAATATTTGTGTAGTGAATTTATTTATTGATATCGATAGCAAATAAATCTGGGAATGTTCTTGTATTTTGGGATTCTGGGTTTTGTCAGCTTATCATTAAGATGTGAAAAAGAGCTTCCTGAACACCAATTCATCTACTGCAGTGTTCAGTAACCTTTTTAGGAGCAGAGTTACCCAGTTTGGGTAAGAGCCAGCCGGGCAGGCAGGATAAGGACCAGCTGCTGCTGCTGCTGCTTCTGCCTAGCAGGGTGATGGAGAGAGAGCCTATAAACTTGTCCTTTTTCCATGCTGGCACAGTAACCACTGCCTAATGCCACCAAAGCCTCACATCTACAGGCTGGTTCAAATGGCAGTAAGTTGCCAACCCCTGATCTGCCGGGATTATTTCCCAATTCTGCCACAAACTGTGTGTGATCTTATATAGGTCATTTGACCATGCTCTCTCTCGTGTCTGTTTAAAAAAAAAAAAAAAAGGGAAAAATGCATCTTTCTTTCTGTATTGTCTACTAAAATTATAAGTTTTCCCAGACCATGTCATGTCTGTCATCTGCACACAGTGCCTAACTCGGTTCTATCTTGTGGTTGGTAGTAGTTTTGCTCATACTCTTTATGAACTCCTCTTCCCCCTCCCCCCATCAGTATATGTTTTTGTCTCTGATAATATTTGAGCCTTTCTTCCTTCTGGATAATATTTTAAGGTGTACATCCAGACATGGAACCCACAGAATCTTACTATGACCATTGTACGTGATGAATACCCAACCAGCCCCATGGCACTTCGAGGCATTAACCAGCGAGCTGCTTTTCAACAGTACCAGCCAGTAGTGATGCTTCAGAAGGGCTATACAATACATTGGAACGGACAGGCTCCACAAACCACTTTTCTTTACCTCATTAACTTTAACAAGTATGTCACCCTCAATGCATATCAGCTTTCACCTCATCTCTGGCAGAATTAGTATGCATGCATAAGAAAAGAACTTGACTTTTATATGAAATAAGATGCATTAACAGCAATAGCATAAACTGGAGACGAAACAAAAGTTGTATGAAGTCACACATGAAGTGTTCTGCAGGAGAAAAGTCTTGAAGACTTTCATTGTTGTTTTATTACTGCATGAAGCTGTGCAGAATAAAATTTTAAATGGTTTGATGTGGTGGCATTTAAGAGGCACCCAAATAGAATAAAATATCTCAAAGTGGAAAAGTGACAACTTTTATCAGAGGGATATAATGGGTGTTGTTATTTTTCACACAGTGTTGCAAGCCATCTATTTGATGATTAGATTTGCTACATTTTCATTTTTCCTGTTGTATTATCTGTTAAAAGGTAACTACGACATCTCTAAACCTATTTACAGTCTGAACCGTAACATCATAGAGTTTATTCAAATGAATGATCTGTAACAATTTTGTTTCCCTATGTTTTCAGGAATGAATGGATCCGGGTTGGTCTTTGTTATCCATCAGGTACAACCTTTCAAGTCACGTTTGATGTCTTCCAAAGGGCATCTGGATTCTATAGTATTGGAGAATATGCTGCTGTATCTTCCATATCAGAACTGAAGAAGTATCGATCAGAGAAAAAGTTTTATTTTGACAACAGCACAGGGTAATTTTTAAAATAGATGAATAAAAAAATCGGGACATTTTTGTCATTGTTTAATTGTACAGTTGTTAGTCTGGTAGTCTTGAGACATCTGCTTATGAGGAAGGTTCCTGTGGGATAGAAATTGTAGGGCACCAATGAATGTTTGGAAGAGTACTTAAGTAACTTGTAATTACAACTGCAGTTGTCTTCAGGTCAGCATTTCCCAATGGATACTGTAGTTACCACAGTTATTTCCTATTCCAAGTATAGGCGGAAACTGTGGTATCTCAAATACCACACTGTTGGTACCTTTCAACCCATAACTTGTCTATTAAATATAAATATTAGAGTTCGAGAACATTCTTGTTTTGTCCAAAAGAAACTCAAACCTGTGTTTATGACTATGGGGAAGGGAGCAAAATTATCCAGGAACTCCTAGGTCCTATTTTCAAAAGTGGCTTTTGGATTTAAGGTTGAATAAATCTTAAAAAATGGTCATTAGCCTCCTAAATCACTTAGCCACTTTTAAAATGTTATACCTGAGCTGCAACAAGGCCTCATTTAGCATGGGTTTGTTTGTTTGTTTGCATCATCTCATTTTGATTCCACTCAAAGTATTAGGGTTGAAGTGTCAGATTTTTTTAAAAATCTGATTAGTGTACTAGTTTATCTAAACAGATGAGCACAGTTTTTTCCTTTGGATATTTAGGTCTTTTTCACTATCCAGGCATGATAAGCATCTATTGAAGCATCCTTGTAGTTATTACCAGCGTTATGTTTCTCCCAGGTAGGATGCGGTTATTATGCTTTTTGCACAATAATCACAGTAGTAAAGGAAATAAATCTCTTTTCTAAAATTTGCTTGCTTCTTGTGCAGCCATTTTGTCGATCAATGGCGGATTATGTTATTTTCCAAATGATCAATCTACTTTTGAACCTTTATTTAAGATGTATGGTATAAAAATTACTCTTTTCAATGACTTGGTTTCTTCTGAGGTGTGTGGAAAATAACAATTGACCAATCATTATGATTGTAAGTAGTTTTACTGTATATCATTAAAGGTTTCCCTACTTCAGTAATGATTGTGAGAGAACATTTTGTAGTTCTGTAGACTTAGGAAACAGAAGTATTTGTTTCTGACTTCTGAAAAACTGAGATTTTTTTTTTGTATTCACTTTATTAAAAGTCCTAAAGAGTTTTTTATGTAAATATCTATCCCATCAACTATCTATCCAGTCACATGTATTTTTTTTCCTTGTCTAGATTGCTGTTCTTATATCTTCAAGCCAAATATAATCGGGAGGGTCATAGTTATTGTTCATCTCAGGGATGTGAAAGAATCAAGATTCAAGCCACACTTTGGTCAAAAGAGATCAGCAACTGCATGACAAAAGCTTATCCAAAGTACCACGAAGCACCAGCTGTTATAAAGCCAATGCCAGGCAAAATTACTATACCATGCAAAAACTGTGGCACAAATCAGGTAAAAAAAAAAAGACAAAAATATATAAACATGGTTTGTGAACAGGTAGATAAGATTGCTTAAATATAAGGCATTTAAATGAAAACTGGTTCTCTTGTGAAAGAGAGAAGCAGGCAAACTGGAAAGTTTGCTGTCATGTACCATCTAATATGCATTTTGATGAGAGAGTCTTTTCACATGTAATCAAATGGACCCTCTGTTGTGTTTCTGACCTGTGAATTAAGGGTGGTCTTTAACAACCTCTGTGTGTTCCCTGTTGGTTTAAGGCACTTCTTGCGTTGAGCTAAAGAACCACATAATGCAATGTCTGCTGCTGTGTCCAGGAGCACACTTGAACTGAGTTGACATGATCTGTTCCCACTATATAGAGGAGCATGCTGTTTCTCCCCTTCCGTCCTCTCACTCTTCTGCTAAACAGAATCAGCTCTTGTGTCAGCAAGCTAGTTAGTTTCTCTTCTTGTAGATTAGTTGGGGCTGCTTGCTTCTAGTTATTCCTGAGTCTCTGCTGGGTCCCATAGAGAGTTCAAAAGGTGTGTGTCCTGCTCAGCCACTGTTTTTAGAGACTAGTTCATGCATTCAGTGCAGTATGCCTGTGGGAGGCTCACATAATATCCCTCTGCACAGTTCATGAACCTTCACTTGCCAAGGGAGAAAGAGCAGGGAGTCACTACTTCAGGTGTGCTTGGCTTCTTTAGGGACTTTAGCTGGAATATCCTAGCACGGCCTCATGAGCTTTCAGGTTTCTTGTAAAAGAGCCATGAGGTATACCTTACCACCTAAGCCTTGGCAGTGCCCTTGACCAGTCTGTCAGGCTAAATGTCTGGCTTCATGACCTGTATCAGCATCCAACTCACTCAGTGTCTGTAGAGTTGCCATGAATTCATAGTTTCATAGTTTCTAGGTTCGGAAGGGACCTGAG